GGGACTGGGAGTAATTGTTTCTTTTCAAATTCACAGTGACAAAGGGGAATGTTTTTGTGCAGAAGGTGACACTCAAAGAAATTCAAATAAAATCTAAGAAACTACTAAAAATTAAATAACAAATTACTAAAATCAAATGAGTGATAATTAAGGATCTAGCCAAGAAATAACTTCAGCAATGGTTCACCTAATTGATCATTGAAACAAAGGCAATTCCAATTATTTACTAATAAATAGGTTATAACTGCCAAACAAGCGATGACAGTTAACCCCTCCTTACTGTATCGGTGATTAAGGTACGTCCGTTAATCACTACTCTAATTAAAAAATAATCTTAGGTACGCCCGTAAGATTTAATTCCTCAATTGCCTTACGAATTAGAGGAGCCCTATTCTAACCAAATAACGCACTACCAGGGTTATTTCAGATTGGCCCGCACATCCCCCTAACACAAACCCAATCATGCCAGTTATCACTATTTTGAGACAATTAAACAATTACGGATTTAACGTCCCAATTGACAATAGATTATCAAATTAACTAATTATCCGGATCCAAGACAATCAATTAATTAAACAATCTTAAGTACTATAATCAGGAAATATGCGAATACCAATAAATAAAGAAAAGGATAAAATTAAAGCGATCTCACAATTTTAGTCGAATCAGAGCATCCGTTGTCCCTTGACTAGAATGAGAAAATTAGTTTATATTTGATGAACAAAACCCATACAAAATTGAAACAAGAGCTGCGGCCATCATGTGGCAGGAGGAATCCACTACAGGTCACAAGGAAAAATCAAACGAAAAAGCTACAAGGAAATGATTCAATGCTTCAATTGTTCCTGACATCCGAGAGAAGACAAAAACTACTAAGAAGCAAAGGAAGGAAAAGTCAACGCTAAAGCTCCAGAGTAGTGCTCCCCTCCTGCCATTTCCAATTCTAGTTCCTCTCTATTGCTCCTGCCTTGTGCGGCGGCTCCCCCTTGCGGAGAGGACGAAGCCTCTGGACGCTTCCCCAGGTTTGCTTTCTTTTCCCTTTTTTAGTTGCTGTCTTGGCTCAAAATTACCAAAAAGGTCTTGCATCTCCTTGTTCCAAGAATGCCTTTAATTGCCTGCTATTTGAATTCTTTCCCGATGACTGTCAAATTGGCCTTGATTGTGATATTTTTGTTCTACTCTCTGAAATAAATGTAAATTACGAAAAGTGAGTAGAATCTAATAATTAATTCACATCAAGTCAGGTAATAGGGAAAATTAATAATAAAATAAATGATAAAATTGCAACCTATCAATGACAACTAAAATAAAATGTCTTATTTATTTGTGCGCCTTGTCAAGAAAAAATAATACAGTACTAGGTAGGAAAGGGGCAATATTAGAACAATTTCTTAAGAATGAATATATATGAATTCCATTTCAATTATTCAAAAAATAAATAAATGGTAGAGTAAATCGAAATGAGACCTCATAGTGTAATAATATCTGTCAGGCCCTGATTCTTAGCTTGGCCTTCCATATATTTGTTAAATTTTCGTCAACTAAGCCCTCAAAACCTCTCTAAATTTTACTCTGCAAAATTATTAAACCACATTCTTATAAGTAAGTACTGCAAACAGTGGACTGACTTTTGAATCAAAGGTAACTGATAAAGCAAGCTATATATGAATCGATCAAATAAATCAACATATAACTAATTTGTTGAATTAGAGGAAACTAAGTTTTCCGAGCCATCACAATCGATGTCCACAAATAATTCAGGAGACAATCTTTCAGCAGAAATTTATGAATCGATCATACCAAAATTTGTACTCAACTTATTTCGTGCCCATGGACCGCAATTTTATTTGATATATTCACAATCTTTTATTTTTTATATTCCTTTCACGGGCTTTGGGCTTCCCTCGGTATCTTTTTGTATAATTTCTTGACAACAACTCTTATCATATGTTTCATGGCATTTTTATTGAGCTTAACATATTATCGTAATTAGCCTCCTCAATTGACTTTATCTCCTTATCCTTTCACTGGTTGCAAAGAAATTGACTCTATATTATTGCTTCTTATGTGAAGACGGTAGAATAATAAGATTTTTCTATTGAGTTTTATAAAGGCAACAGATAAGCACAAAGAAAAGAAGAAGAAGAAGAAGAGGACCTTCTACTAAACTTTTAAAATTACTATCATTTTTTTAGTGTAAGTGCGAGGTTTCGAATTCGGAATCTCTCACTTACACTCTTTCTTTCAATACTACCACTCATCTCTTGAATTGTAACACTTTCATTATAAAAGTTTTTACCCTTTTGCACAAAAAATAATGCCACGCCTACTTCTTATTTGTTGTACTTAGGTAAAACCATCACTTTACTGTATCTTAATGTTCATTTACTCCTTTAAGTTTTATGAATTTTTATTTTTTTTATGCGATCTAGCTTGTGAAGTAGTTAGCATACTCAGTCAATTATCTAATTTTCCTAACGAAATGAGAAAGACATCAAGGATAAGGAGTCTATATTGTAGTTTAGTTTGGCGTAACGAAGCATCAATAGTTTTTAATAATTGATACTTTTCTCCATTACATTTTCTTGTTAAATTCGTTTTTCCCAAAATGTGGCAAATTGAGCCTAATAGCTAGATAATATAGGAAACAACAAATTAAGAGTAAAACATTATTCAATGTTAAGAAAAGCCACTAATGAATTTCTTTGTGATGCAAATATAGATGGGAAAGTTGAGGTATACAAAGAGAGGCTCAAAATTGACGAGGAGAACAAGACCAATGCTGCTGAGGCAATAGATGGAGATTGTATGAAGCACTACAAGAACTATAAAGCAACGTTACAAGTTATCTCCAGAGGTGACTCCAGCTTTGCCAAATGTACCATTGACTATGAAAAACTGAACCAGAATGAGCCTAGTCCAACAAAAAAACCTGGACTGGCTAGTTCAAGGGTTAATATATATGCTTGTAGTGGAGCATATAGATTTCTGCTGCAGTAAAAAGATTTACAGCAATAAAATTCCAATTCTCTGAAAAGCAAAAGAAAAAGAAAAAGAATGTAATCGAATCAGATGGATCAACTGATTAGTAAGATCTTTATCCCTGTATATGGCAATTGGTCCTAGGTTTTCAATAAATATTGCATATATATGATGACAATTATTAGCAACCACCACTTTGAAGTTGTTACTCTGTATTATGGCATTAGTTCTCACTTTTTAAATTGAACATTCAATTTAGTCACTTTATGCCACCTTGAAGTTGTCTTTTTTTTGGCTTGTAAGTGGGAGGTCTTTAACCCTAAACCTCTTACTTACAATCTCTCTTAACTTATCATCTAATTCAACCCTCTCTCCAATGCCACAATGTAGTTGTCAACGTAACTATCTCAATTTGTACCAATTAGGTTCCCTTTTTAAACCGTGTAATTGGTTTTATTCATTGGCAGGTAATTACCTATATCAATTATCAAATACAGATAATGTATGAGATGATCATACTAGTCAATTGCCCAAAATTAGCAAACAATTAGATTGGTGCAGCTAAAAAGAAAATATTCAAATCCTTTTCTCTTGTCTTAGAAGTAGCCTTATTGATACATGAATGCAATGCCCTTCACTACTGTTTTGCAGTATTTTCAACATGATGATGGCTGAAGAGCTGCTTTCATCAAGATTTTGGCGTTTGCGACTTTTGCTGAGCGTATCCATCGTGTTGTTGAGTATCGAACAAAGAAAGAAAAATGAATAAACAAAAAAACATGACTTTCTGATGTGCTTCACCATTCATGAAGCGGACAAATGTACAATTTCTTGATTTGAAGGGCCAAAATAAATTTTTTTCATTTCCATTCTTGTAACAATACGCGTGAGTACCTATAAAAAAAGGAAAAAAAAAAAAACAATTTGTCAACATACTCTGATTTCCCTTTCCAATCATCCCAAAAACATTATAAAGTTTGGAAAAAAAATCTTTTTTTTGTCTACTTACCACGTGAATAAATGCTATGACATTTTTTACCTCTCTAATAAAACTATCAAGTTTGTTACTGCAAATAGAACATACTTTGTCATAAAAAAGTTTTGCATTCACTCAATTAACCATCTATGCTAAACAGTTTTGCACAAAATGTTGACTTAATCTACGTAATAATCTAAAAGCTACTGTGAAATGAAAATTTGATTCTATAAATCATGGTGCAGCCAGTTTAGTTGGTAGAACATTTACTAGGAAAAGGTGCATAGCGATTTTTCAGCATTACTACAACCAATTATGGCTAGTCCAATTCTAGCTGGAAAGTTAGAAGCTGAGATAAAGATTAAGTCTGATCCTGATGAGTTCTTCCACAGCTTTGGTGGTAAAGCGCACAAACTTCCAAATCTTTGCTCCGACAAAGTTCATGGTGTTAAAGTTCATCAAGGTGACTGGAAAACTAAGGGCTCTGTCAAGCTCTGGACTTATGCAATAGGTAGCAAAAACCAACTCTCTACTTTGTAAGATTGATAGTTACTAATTTGAGTTGCATGAATTATTTTTTTTTTAAAAGTTAGTGTAGAACAGTTTGATATTATGGTGATTTTCCTGGGAATTTCAAGATGATATGCATCATAACTTAATGTTTTTCTGCCACCAATTTGGTAGAATATCCCTATAATAATGGCATAATTTGATAAATATTTTACTGCCCAGATGGAAAAGTTGAGACTCTGAAAGAAAGGCTTACGGTGGATGAAGAGAACAAGACTGTCACTGCAGAAGCAGTTGGAGGACATATTTTGGAACAATTAAAGAGCTACAAGGCTACCTTACAAGTTATTCCAAAAAGTCAGTCCAACTATGCCAAATGGACAATTGAGTATGAGAATATCAATGAGAATGAGCCTGCTCCAACTAAGTACCTCCACTGGCTGATTCATGCTGGAAAAGACGTGGATGCTTCACTTGTCAAGGCATGAACATGCATAGTTATTTCGCTAGTTGAATAATAATAAGAGATAGAATGGTGTGAGTATGAAATAAAAGCTTGTTAAGGTTATGTATGTCATGTTATAAGCTTGGTGAGAGAGCTTTATTAAATTTGTTGTGGCTGTGATTGTGTGTTTGATATACTAATTACAATGAATATTTATAAATAAAATGATGGCTTGATGCCTAAAATGTTTTTGTGCTGTAATATTTGTGTATAATTTTCTTTCTTTCTTTCTTCAATGTGCCTTGGCTTTCGAGTAAGATTAGCTGAACTAAACAGAATCAGCAAACACAAAAAAAAAAAAAAAAAAAAAAAAAAGATTAAGATCCTGAAAATGGATTGACTAGCTAGGAATATTGACTTATAAATCAGTACGTCTCCAAATATATATGTTACTCAAGTCTGCTTTGAAACATTGATCAAATACCAAATGCACAAATATGTTACATATATCAAATGCGTTACTTCAAGTTTCGACAAATTAACAATCAAATTCAGCTAAGATTATGAGTTTGTACAGCATGTGACTACAAGGAAATCTCATTTACTTAAAATTAATAGTTTGTTTTGAAAGTGACTTTCGAAAAATCAAATTCAAATAAAATTAAGAGCTTATACCGAATGTCACTTTGAGTTAAAATTAGGATTTTATACTAAATATGATTTACGAGAAATTGAATTCAGTTAAATTTGAAATTTTGTATTAATTGCATGTTAAAAAATTCAAATTCAATATAAGACAAAAGTTTGTATTGAATGTCAATTTCAAAATATCACATTCAGTTATAATTAAGTGTTTGTACAAAATGTGATTTTTTTTTTTTTTTGCATTTGAAATATCAGATTCAATGATAATAATGCATTCATGTAGGACATTTGTTTGATGGTATTCACTCATATTAATAGAGTATAGTTACAATTTCTTTGGCCGTGGCATTCAATTGGAGGGTGGGCTGATAAAATTAAATTAGGGAGACCAATTTTTATGAACATTTGATTTCAAGCTCAATAATATAACTATGCCATGTAGTATATGAACCAAAAAAAAATGTAAATATGTCAGATTAATAGTGCATAGAGTCTGGGTGACCGCATTATACTACGAGCTGGCTTTCCAGAAATAATTGGTAGTGCATTAAAAGATGTCGTTTTTATTCTTTTCAGTTTATTCAAATCCGCACAAAATAAATTTACAAATAGCTCTACGTAACTCAAACTGCGTAATAGCTCAATGCCGATAAAAGATCTATTAATAGCGCTACGTAAAATAATGTTTCAATTTTGTGCTAACATTTGCTCAGCCAACACGATTTTGAATCTCTGACAATGTTCATTACGCTAACTAGCAAGATGTACAGATACATTAGAGGTCGGCTACATCTTGCAGCTAAAATTGTGTGTGATTGTACATCTTCTTGAATATGTCCCTTGTCTTCCTGATAATACCAATCATCATCAATGGTTTATCTTTAAATTAAGGTTTTAGATATTATAGTTTCCATGTTTTGAAAAGTCTTCAATCCTGGACCTCCTAAAATCGAGAGGGATGCATCACCAACCTTGATAAAGTTAAAATTCTTTTTGCGTGCAAATTTCGAAATTGTGACCTTTTAAAAGTGCCCAACTTGTATTTCTGCACAATCACGTTTCTTTCTTTGGTTTTTTTTTTTAATGGTATCCCTGACAATTGACTCTATATATCCCTGTAGTCTTTTCAATGATAGTATTTGCTTTGATCTGCCTTTCTTGGTTAATTAACAGAACTAAGAAGAGATGAGTTTAACTGGTAAGCTGGTTTCTCAAACCGAGATAAAGTTGAATGGAGATGTGTTTCATGAGATCTTAATTTAGAGACAAACCACATCATATATCCGATATGAGCCCTTCACTTGTTCAAGGTGTTGAATTGCATGATGGTGATTGGGGAAGTGTAGGAGCCATGCAAGTGTGGAAGTATACCCACGGTAAAAATTTGGATTTAATTTCGTCATTATTTCCATTGGTATTTTCTTCCAAAATTTACTGTATTTTATCTTTTTTTTAGTATCAGAAGTGAGGAAATGACTAGGCATGTTGTTATCTCCTTTAAAAGATATGGTCAATTTTTGGCGGAGCTAGGACCTATAGCCAGTGGGGGTAATATTATACACCTAAGATAATGTCATTATTATGTAAAGAGAAATTTAATTAAAGATAATATTTTTATTGTGACTTTTTTGTGTTGTGAAATTATTCAATTTATTTCTTATTCAAGTCCTTAACAATTTTGTGTTTTAATAGCTTTAAAACATCTGTATTATAGGAAGTATGTCTTAAAAATTGGTTGTTTAAGGAAGATAATGTGAGGAGAATGAAAATTTCTCATAATATAGGGAGACAATGTAGAGGAAAACGTGTACCTTTCACAATTGAGGAGGTGCTATTATGATAAAAATATAAATATTTTTAATAGTTTCAAAACTATTTTTTAAATTTTGTAAAGTTGAGGGGGAAAATTATCCCCCCTCAGCATAGTGTGGCTTCGCGACTGTAGCTAAGGCAAGGATTAGTACAGTTAGAAATATGTAGTTATTCTACCCATCCAAGAGACAAATTATGTTGTCAGATGCTTGTTTTTATCCCAATATTTATGGATTTGAACCTGACAGCAGTGAAAACTCTAAGAGCTCTTCTTCATTAATCTCTGAGCTGACTCTAGTGGTTATATTATGGTTACTTGTAATCATATGTTAAAAAAAAACACACACACAAACACGCAAACACGCAACCCGGGGTCTTGCTCTCTATGCTAATTGATTTATATGTGACTCTATACTCTTTCGATTCATTTACCGAATTGTTGTTTGTTTTACAGATGGAAAACAGAGATATGCAAAGGAGAGATAATTGTGGAGCTAGATGAGGAAAAGTAGTTGGCATAGTTTTAAGGTAATTGAAGGAGATGTGATGGAGTTATATAGTAAGACCTTCATCGCAACTGTTCATGTTGATACCTATGGTTATATAAGAAGTTAGTGACTTGGACTTTCGAGTACGAGAAATTAATTGAGAACATCCCAGATCCAAATACATTGATGGACAATTGCATAAATTTGACCAAAGATATTGAGATTTACCATCTCAAATAAAGGGATCATCTAGTCATCATATCGATCTGGCGTGAAATTAACAATGATTGGAAGGTCAATCTACAAAACCTATGCTGTGATGAGCCGAATCATACGACGATTGTATTATGTGTGTGGAGAACTGAAATGAATTTGATGCTTGCACGTATGAGTTTTTTAGTCTCTACTGGTTCTTCCTTCTATTACTTGTCTGGTTTCTGGTGGTGGTGCGACCTGGAGCTCGAGTTTGCATGGCTCTTTTAGTTAATGAACTCAAATTGCCCTAGAACCTATCAAACATATGTGAATTTTTTAACCATGATTGTTCATTCTGTATAAGCATCGAGCTTCAAAGTCCAGCGTTCCATTAATCGATAATTGTTTTAATGAGTAAAATCCTATAAAACTTTATTTCTTTCTCAAATTAGAGCTGAAAGATTAAATTTTTCTTTTTTCTTCTTTTTTGCAAATGATAACTGAAATGTATTGCCATTGCAAAAAGTAGTTACATAATTGGAGCAACAGCTCCTATGTCATCTTTGGCTAATCCAACTAATCAAAGGGCGGAAGGACGCCTTCCACAAAGTTTCACTAAGCACGTTGAAGCTAAATTTTGCCAACTTGTGAATTACACAATTACCTTCCCTTTTAATAAAGGGAAAGTTAATATTTACATAAACGCTTCCTAAGGGCGTGTTTAATAAAACTAAAATTTGAAAACTAATATCTGAATCCATTAAATTACTGAAATGCTAAATACTAAATCTGATATATTTAAGTGTATATCATATTAAGTGATAACTCAATAACTTATTACTTATTTTTTCAGAGCAAGTTTTACCCAAAAAATTTAGTGTCATTTAATTAATTCAAAAGTTCTATTTTTTGTTATTAAATGCATTTGAATATATTAAAATCTGAATTTATTAATTTTAAGTGCTGATTTGAGTTGTCAAATAGGGCCTAAGTTTTCTAATATCGTCAAGTATTATTCCAAGCGTTGCATCATCCACAATTACCTACTCAATATTCAAATCAAATTTGGCACTGTAAAAACTCATTTGAATTTAAGTAACCAACTAATCAATCCAAATATAAATAATTTTTTTCCTCAGAGAAGTTTCGACTTCAATTGGAATCTAACTCAATTAGTATAAAACTTAAAATTTACATGTGAAAATTCAAGATACTCAATCTCAGTATGATAAAAGCTTATTTGAGTTCGGTATGGCAAATAAACTAATCAATCAAATTTGAACATTAACATGTTGAGTTTAAGTAGACTCATGTAAACCCCTATTTCAAACCTAAAATGATATGTTCTTTCGAATTTCTTTTGTTAACGGCCATACCTCTATGGTCTTAAGATGCTTCATTTGTACTTTACTGCTTTTTCAGTATCCACGCAAGGAAGTTAAAAAATTTAAAAACAATCCCAGGTAAAGCCCATGAGAGTGAAGGATTTGGACTTTTTGGGAAGGTACATAATTTCAGGTACATACTGTAACGGCCAATCGAAAAACCAAAAGCCCATAGTGAAGTTTTTTTTTTTGGGTACTAATCCATTAGCTGAAGAGAAACTCGGTAAGCGAAACCTTTTTTTTTTTTTTTTTTTTTTTTTTTCAACTCTCAATTCCTCCATTACAATCGTGCATCTAAGTCAGACAATGTTAAAACAACATAAAATAAGTTAAAGGTGAAATCGATTCAATATTAAAAGATTGTAACCAAACATATTAGTAACTCATTTTGAATTTAACTTTATTTCATGTCTACGTTGGGAATGGTTTTTCTTATCTCGTGAAGAAAAAATAGAATTAGACCAAGATAATGAGAAGCAGAAGCACATCATAAATTAGGTTGTGGTGCATAATGCACTGGCGTAATGGAAACTTCGCCATATAGAACAATTAGTTCTTCCTCACAAAGCTCGTTACAAAAAGAAGTCAGGTTTTCGTGAAAAATATTTTCCTCTTATGTTTCATTTTTTGTAAGAATAAAGTTTAAATAATTTCGACTCCAATCATCATCAAAGATTAGGATATACTCTTGAAGCTATAGATCACTTACACTTACACTTACAGAGGCACTTAGATATTACTCACCAATTTGGCCCTTACATCAGACGTAGGGTCCAAATACCTTACGTACTATTATATGTTGTTCACGACTAGCTAACTGACCCTGCATTAACATACAATTCAAATGCACCATAGTAAAAAACAAAAATCCGACAGCTAAAAGTAGAAAACTTCAAATTCTTGTACTACATATTTCACGAGTAGTCTTGACTCCTAGATTGGAGTTTTTCTTTTACTGTATACTGTGTAGAAAATTTTTATCATGTTACGAAAATGACGGAAAAATTTACTATCAATCGACGGTCCTAGTAATCAATTGATAGGACTGTACTATCAATTCTTGAAATGTTGCTATCTATTGATGTTTCGGTAGCTGTAGCAATTACCAGTCATATCTAATCTTGCCTACGAGGACCAAATCTATACTTTTGTTTTTGTTTGATTTATCCTACCTGAATTAATAGTTCCAACCTTCTTTTTGTTTTTTGGGATAGTTCCTACAACGAATTGTATGCTTCAACAACAATGGGTTCGAAAGTCAGTCCAAAGTTACTGTTTGGAGATTTGACGAAGGCATTATTTGAAATAATTGTTATAGTACATTTTATGATATAATCATGACACAATTCGACAGTTCAATTAGGGATGTAATCGAGTGCCATACTCGACCTCGACTCGACATACAAGAAAGGTGCTCGAGCTCGAGCGAGTAGTATTATTGGAGCTCGAGCTCGACTCGCATGGGTTCGAGTCAATTCGAGTCTTATCGTGCTACAAAATTTCATTTTCTTGATAATTTTTTAGTGAAAAGACATTATTGCTCTTTTAAAATTTTTATTCGACTTGAAACATTTCGTAAATTCAATAACTCTTTTGGATATAAGAGTAATTTTATAATAATAATATATTAAAGAATTAAAATTAAAAAGCTCAATAAGGCTCGACTAGCTCTCGAGCGTTGCTTCTGAATACTCGAACTCGACTCGTTTGCTTTATAGAGGCGCTCGAATTAGACTCGAACTCGGTCAACCCGAGTTCAAGTCAAATTTTTGACCGAGCTGCTCGCGAGTCGATTCGATTACACCCCTAGGTTCAACTAGACAACTTGGTGAACTAGCTACCTAATCGGGCTAGGTAAGTAGTTAGATCAATTAAGAGAGGAGCACATTAACTAGTCAATGGTTTATCAATTCAATTCGTAAAATCTCAAAAAATTGGCGGTTCAACAACTTGTTAAATGATTATATTATTTTTAATAATCCAAATACATTATTTTATTATATAATACAACCATCGAGTCAATCAGTGAATCCTGGGTTGAACCAATATCCCATTGAACTAGTTACTGAATTGGGTTGATATATGGGCTGAATTTAATAACAATGTATGTAAAGTTTGTGAAATAAAGAAAAAATTCGAAAGATAAAAATAAAATGAAAAAATGTGCTTCTGATACAAGTATAATTTTTTTTTTTCAAGTAATAATATATCCAAACATGAGTGAGTTGTTTTTTCTATTATGACTAGTGACAATAAAGGAAACCACCAATTGTGCCAAAAAAATACGCACCACAGGCTGTAGCTAACCTCACAATTGCAAATTGTTGGATATCATAATAACATGGAGATAGATATAGATAGCTAGAAAATACGTTCATTTAGCATTTATTTTTTGGGTTCGTCTATTTAGCGCCTTAAGTGCAACAGATAAGAAGTTGGTGTGGCATTATTCTTTGTCCAAAAGGATAAAAACTTTTATTGTGAAAGTGTTACAATTCAAGAGATGAATGATAATTTCAAAGTTTAGTAGTAGACCAACTTCTCCTTTTTTTTTTTTTGTGCTTATCTAAATCTTATTATTTTACCGTCTTCAAGCACGAAGTAATAATATAGAGTCAATTTCTCTGCCGTCGCATCCAATGAAAGGATATGATGAATATTTATTTGACGTCAAGCTCAATAAAAATGCCATGATACGTGTGATAAGAGTTGTTGTCAAGAAAATATATAAAAAAGGAAGCCCAAAGCCAGTAAAAGAGGGGAAAAATGACATTGTGAATATATCAAATAAAATTGCGGGCCATGGATTTTTTTTTTTAAGAATGTGGTTTAATAAGTTTGCAGAGTAAATTGAAGAGATAGATATTGAGAATCAGGGCCTGACCGATATTATTACACTATGAGGTCTCATTTCGATTTAGTCTAGCATTTTTTTTTGAATAATTGAATTGGAATTCATATATTCATTCTTAAGATCCTTGCCCTGCTGTGCCCATTAGCAGAAGTATTGATATATCATGAAATTTTTCCTTGTCTTGCCCCTCTCTTACCTAGTTTTATTTTTTCCTTGGACAAGCGGCACAAATACATAAGTCATTTTCTATCAGGTGTCATGCATTAGGAAAAGAGTTTTGTTCCTTGAAAGTCATTTTTTTAAATTTATTTATGTGTCTTGATTTTGGTCTCCTACACAAAATTTTTTTTTTTTTTTCCTTTTGGTTTCTCGCATTTTTTCAACTTGTGCAGGCATGTATCGACAAATTGTAATTGGGATATATATATATATATATATATATATATATATATATATTCATCACAGATTTTCAGCCAACCCATTGCCATCTATACTAGCCACAAATGTATGCCTGGCAACTACCGTTTAATTGTTTGGGTACATTAATTAATTTGAAGGACCGGCATATAATCGGTCTCATTGCCATGTTACTTTAGTTAGGTGGGGTTGTCCTAGTTTTCGTAGGGGTATACACGGATGGTAACTTTGTCTGATCGGTCTCATAGGCTGGAGGTAAGGTGTGGTCTCTCGTTATGTATTTTTTATCTTTCATAATAAAAGTTGGACTGGCATTCCACCCCGTGCACGGGGTTTGCCACAAAAAAAAAAAAAAAATACTGACATATAAAGCTGGTGGATCGTGTCAT